TGGTACCGTCCAGCTGTGGAATTTGTGTGGAGAGGCTCTTGGGGAACTACCGCGTCTTGAAGCAAGAGTGTCAAGGGTAGTGTTCCACCCAAGTGGGAGGTTTCTTGGTGCGTGTGTTCATGATAACAGCTGGCGCTTGTGGGACCTTGAGATTCAGGAGGAGGTACTCTTCCAAGAGGGACATTCCAAACCCGTCTTCTGTCTTGATTTCCAGGGGGACGGGTCCCTGGCAGCAACAGGGGGGATGGATGCATTTGGTCGCATCTGGGATCTCAGAAGTGGCAGGTGCGTCATGTTTCTGACTGGACACCAAAATGCTATTTTAGGTATCAACTGGTCTCCTGATGGTTATCATCTTGTTAGTGGAAGCGAGGACAATTCTGCCAGAATTTGGGATGTTCGGGCACGTCGCTGTATTTACAGCATACCAGCACACACAGGGATAGTCACAGGAGCTCGGTATGATAAAATAGGAGGTCAGTATATCGTCACCAGTTCATATGATGGTTCTGTTCGCTTATGGTGCCATGGATCCTTCCAGCCCATGCGTGCCCTGGAAGGCCACGGACAGAAGGTCATGGGGGTAGACATTTCACCATTGGACGGAATCATTGCTACGTGTGCCTTTGATCGGACATTTAAATTATGGGGGCCAGATTAAGAGAGAGACTCGACACAGGAATGTAGTTCCTTTTTTTGTACAATGGAGTGAATGGACAAATTAAGGTTGAATTATGAAATAAAGAAGCTGTCTTATATGTATTTCACTCTTTCATTTAGCCTAAGACAAATGTGTGCTCATACTGGATAAAAAATAATGGCAAGTGTATATCTCCTCAAAGATATAAAATATGCTCATCACCAACTTATTTTTTCTCAGTTTTATATTAGATGGCAGAAATTAAAGTGAAGTGTGAAGTAGATAATATACTACCATACTTTTTTGTGTTTCTTACATGTCTAAGGTTTGCATCAGTTTTCTCTTGCCCTAAACTCCTCCTTATCCCTTGCTCATTGCTGTTGCGGGAAGACTGGAGATGGAGACTGAGGACCAGTATAGGGGATTGCCCTGCCTTGGACCTCAGCCCTTGTTTCAATTAATTTTGCATGGTCTTTCCTTCTCTTTCTCTTCTTCATCATCCCTTTTTCTGTCCACTTCCTAAGGTCTGAGAGCCATGCTGAAAGGATGAAAGGCTGGCTCTGTGTCAGTCATCGAGGGTGTCTGGGATCCATGGGCTCCCAGACACCATGGGTATTCCCTTGGTTAATTGCTTAGTCCTTACCCTTCATGGGGACCCTGAGGAGTAGACCATTTCCTCTCCCCATTTATTTCATGCTTACCAAAGCCAATAATGAAGATGTTTTACCCTTATTAGTGGCATTACCACTTCATCAGCTAGCCTGTCTAAATTTGATTTCATTGTTTTCCCGACCCCAGCCTCTCCTTTGACCATGGTTCTGAATGATACTAATCAAGAGAATGTCTGCAATCAACTCTATCCACTCCAAATCATCCACCCAGGTCATTACTCAACCTCCAGAATACACCCCTTTCTCTCTCCCAACATCCTCCACTCCATCTTCTACTACAGTCTTCTTCACTGTCTACCCCCAACCTCCTTATTACAACTCTTCATTCTTATTGTCCTCCTGCCAAAAGTACAACCTCTCTCCATATCACCCCATCTTCCTCCTGCCCTGGTCCTTCAACTGCAAACCTTTTGAGTACCCTTTTTGCCCAGCCAGGTGTCTCCAAAAATAGGTGGGCTACGTTTCATTTCGCAGTTGTTCTAATCGTTCACCCCTTGTCACAGTTACATCTGAGTCCCAAGCTCATGCACTATCTACCCTGACTGACCTCACTGGCAAACCCATTCCTGCCCAACCTCACTCCTCCCTTGATACTTGTACCAGAACTGTTTCCATCTCTGATTGTCCTATCTACAACAAGGACTGGCCAGACTTGCTTGCATGCTTCAACAATTATGTCCAGTGCAACACGCAAGTCTTACACCAATATTGCCAAGATTAGCTTCTGTAGACATGACCTGGTGACCTGTCTGACCAGTCTAAATCCAGATGATCCAATCTGTACCACTTCCCTGGTGCCTCCCCTCCTCCTCCTCCTCCTCACTCCGCCTGTCACACCAGACAATCCATTTTCTCCTACCACATCCTTTCCTACATTCACCTCTTCATCTGCTCCCCAGCCCTCTGTTCCCTCTTCTCCTCAGCCCTCTCTACCCAACTCCCCTCCAGAAACTCTTGAAGGCATCCAAAAGTTCATAAACATAACTGAAGCGAATAATTCACTCCTTTATCCATCCTCTAATCCCTCTTTTCGTATTCGCTCTACATTCAAAGTATTTGTCAATATCCATCCCCCTCCTCCTCAGACTCCTCCTGCCCCATTCACCCCCAAAAAAAAACATCCTCTCCTCCATGTGTATCACCATTCCCTCTTCCTTCCTCATTATCCTTACCACCCCCACTTAGATGCTTACATAACTCCCTCATGTCTCAACCTTTTCCAGACCCCTCTCCTCCTGACATTCTTCCCAATACTTCACCACTTTCACCTGTTCCTTTATTTCATTCTCTAGCTTATTCACCTACTTTTACAACTATCATTTCTTACAGTGTCAGCCTCTGACTGTTTCATACTAGCTTTTTGCATTTTCCTCATACAGTGTACTCTTCCTTCCTAAAACACATACTCTCCATCTGATGCCCTATACCTCTAACAACATCCCCATTTACAAATCCCATTGTATTCCATTTGCTCCCCCTCTATACCCTTTTCACTAACATCCTATCCTACATTTTCTACTGTCTTTTCACCACAATACTTTCCCAGAGTGCTATATGACCTTTGATGTCTAGCACATTTATTTATTCTAACCATTAACATTAACCATTTTGCCTTAAACCAGAAAGAGGGTTTAATGAATGTAAAATGTAAAAGTAGCCATGACAGTATTCAATGAATTCTTAAAGTAACTAGTCCTACCTATGTATCTTTCTTTACCTATCTGTCTGGTTGGACATGACCTAAGTCACAGTGAGGTTGTATGAGTGCCAAAGTGATAAGAGAGAGAGAGGGAGAAGGAGTGGGTGAGTGTGTATAAGTGTTTGTGTGTGGATGTGCATGTTTTGAGAGAGAGATTGAATGTGACTTAGTAATTTGTAAAACAGCTGATGAATAATTTATAACAGAAGTGTGTTTTTGAGCATTTGCCTTCTTATAATTTCTCTTTACTAAAAACAGAAATAATGATTATTAACAAAAAGAGTTCAGTGCAAGACTGAATGGGAAAAGTGTGAAAGAAAGCTTTGCTATCTTAAAAGGTAAAATTCATTTTTATCAAGATTGTGTGTAATTATATATATATTTTTTATTAATAAGGAAAGGATAAAGTGATGAAGATTTGAGGAACGGGATTTGCAAAACACTAGTCTTGAAAGCAAGAAAATCTTATGAGGAAAAAAGAAATGATGCTAATTTTGGAGTGATTATGTATTTTATTTTCCTTGCATAGCATTCTCAGGTATTTGGTGATATAGGTGCTTGAGTATTCATTTAACCCATTCCTAACGGGTATGTCACGTATCTGTGCCATGCCCACTGTGAGTTTACTTGTTTAATTGTTTTTACACATAGATGGCTACATTTGTACTAAATCACCAATGAGCCAGTTACAAATACTGCCTGTCTTGCCCATTTACCCTTTTCTTTAATTTATGAAAATATTTTACGTTATCTTTTTTGCTATTACTAATAATAATAATAATAATAATTTAGTTTGATTCCATTTATTACAATGGATATTCTTGGTGTGACATACTGTCTGTTTTATTTTGCTTCTAAATTATCCCCTGTGTGCAAGGAATGGCCGGGGTTACCATCCACTGGTGGCGAGGGATTTGAACGCAGGTCAGCAAGATTGCCAAAGGAGATCGCTACCGCTGCACCACACAGCACACAATGTTCATAACAACTTTATTAATTATAATGTTTATAATAAAAATAACACTATCAATATTCATAGTACTAGTAAAAAAAACATTTTCCCGCCAATTCAAGGAAAGGTGAAATCAGGTAAGGCAGAGCCATCTATGTGTAGAGACATTTTGCAAGAAATATGAGAAATGAGCACAGTATTTTCCCCATTTCTTATTCATTTTCCACAGTGCCAATGGGTTAAAGAATAAAGAAATAAATACATATATAAGATTCATGTATAAAAATAATATTTAATATTATGTTTATAAATATCTGTTCACATATGTGTATGTTTATATATAAATATATACTAAGATAATTATCCAGTAAGAAATAACAAATCATATAATGTAAGTTTTAGCCACAAAACTATTACTAGCGACTAGTTGTGAAGGTGTTATCCATGCAGAGACTTTTGATGCCAACCCTCCCACTGCAAAAGGTAATATTAATGTTATAACAACATACAACCAGTAGGGGAGGACTGGCGTTGTACCAATGGGCTGAAACCACAGCCCATGCCGTATTCCATCTCGTATGTGATGACTCAAAACACAAGCTATAATGATTGTTCCGCACTTTAAACACCAGAGTTGCTTAAATATCATGGCTGTAGAATAGAGGAGCAGCACTGTCACGAGGGGTGGCAGTGACAGGTGAAGCACTCCTCTCTCCCAAGGTGCTCTGGGCCCTCCCTGCAGGTAGAAACAGAAAGCAATATTTGACGTTTCATAGACAAGTGTGCTTTTCTGTACATCTTTTAGTAGTATGAATAAGTAGTCAGTAATTACATGTATTTGGTAATTATTTTTGTAACAAACAGAAACTCTAAAGCTCTTGTTCTCAAGCTAACTTACTTGTATGGACTGTATCAAGTCCTTGAATACATGATCAACATCTATTATACAGGACAGTGCAAATGCCAGCCCAAAGTTTAAGAAACTGTTGACAAAGGATGCAGTGTTCTTTCCATCAAAGAAGGAACGACCTGAAATCAAGCGAGAGACTTGATATGTTACGTTGAACTCCAAGGCAGGACAGAGCAGACACATCAGCTGCCACAAGAAGGCTCCGATGAAACCATGCACTATTGTATCTGAAGCCCTTAGGAGAGACCTATAAGAAAAGAATATATCATTTCAGAGTTAATTATCATTAGTAAAATCAGAAGTTACATTTACATTTGATATGTATTCTTCCTGATGGTAAAAAAAATGTTTGAAATGTGGTATAAATATCAATTAATAAATGTAAATATATGCAGTATATCATCAGGGTGCATAAATCAGCTTTAGATAAATTGCTATTTTCTACTCCTATAAATTCTACATCACAAGGTGCACAGAATGGTATAAATGCCTAGATCCTACAAACAAGTGTGGCAATAAATAGGAGTAGTATGTCAATTTGTCTTTTCTCCAGTGTTTCACATAGGAAAGCATTGTTTTTTATCCTATGTGCCATATGCAAGCTCTATTAACATTTTAGCATCAGGAAGAAAGCCTGAGAAGAGAAGAGACAAAAATCAGCCGGCATCAAGAAGTCGACATGAAGAGTGGATCTGCAGACAGTTCTAAATATCTTAGGACCAAAGCAAGTATGTATGTCAAAACAAAAATACAGTCCTTTTCCATCTAGCTTCAAGGGATAGTTACTATTACCTTCCTAAGCTGTCTAAGGGTGACTTTGGGTAATAAAATTTTTACTGACAATATCAGCATTACAAAAATAATAATAATTAATTGATTAATTGTTTAAGAAGTCCTGATTTCAAGATGCTTAAGATGTACAATGACAAGTGTGGATATCAGAATTGGAATGTTCCTGTTGCAAATGCCATTCTGTTCATGTCAGAAAGTATGGTCATATCTGCCATGCAGAAATATGGCCTGTCTAGCTACACCCAGCAGACCATGAGGATAAGCACAACAATATAGGGAGTTATTTTGTAGATCAGGACTAGACTGTGATTATGAAACAACAAGGAGAAACGTGTGTGTGTCTGTGTGCATGGACATGCACACGTGTGTGTGTTGTGTGTGCACATATATACATATACATACATACACACTTAAATATATACGTAATACAATTGCAGATGATTTTCCTTCAGTTGTTTTCCTTGTGTAAACTTACTTTGCAGGAAGTGTCTTGACAAACTCTCCAACAAGAACATCAGAAGGCCAGGTAACAAACAGGAGGGCAGCCCAGACCAGGAATACTTGGCTGCTACATTCCATCCTGTACGTTTTCATGAACGTACGTGGGTTGTTGGTAAACTGCCCTTAATCGACCTAGAAATAGAAATATACGCATCTTTTATACTTTATGAAGTGTATATTGATATTAAACTTAGCTCATTACTAAGAGCGGCTAATGTAACAGAAAGACAATGGGTAACATTGTTCATTTTTGTGCTTTATCACTGACAAATAATGAATTTCTATGGTCCCACACAAAGGCAGGATTGCTTCCATGTTAACACCAAGGTCCTTCTTAGTCCTCACTCCCATAACTCTCTGAGAGTACTAAACTTTATCACAGTAATAAAAGTGAATTGCAAAAGATAAAGTTAATAATGAAACAGAATGTGAAATAAAACAATAAGAGGATATATAAAAAGTTGAAAATCACCAAAAAGCTAGATATATAGCCTAACTAGATACATTACAGGTCCACTATCAAAACCTAAAACAGTAGGATATAAAGCATATCAAACCTGTAAATTTGAAAAATTGGTGTACAAACTGCCAATAAAATTATACACAAGACCTTGCTGATTTCGTAATGATATAAACTCATTTCAAATATGTAAGATTTTAACCCCTTGGTGTCGGGTGACGCCGATCGGCGTGTACACAAAGAGCTTGAAAGCTGGCGTGCAGCCGAACGAGCCGGCGGCGCGCCAAAGCGCAGCGAGCCAGTGATTCAGGCTGATGTCCCCTACTCACGCGCTCAAAGTCGCCGCCTTTGTTTGTTTAAGCGTAGAGTTTTTTTTTTCTTTTGTACACCCGGCGCCATTGGGTTAAGGCATATAAGACTAAAGTGCAGTAAATCTTTACAATACAGATGCACTCTATGTCACAAAATCTGTTTAACAATCTAAGTTGCTATGACTGGGGTAACCTTCAGGCATTGCCCGAAGGGAGGGTTGTTGGGGGGCTCTGCCCCCTAACACCCCCCAAGGAAAACATTGTCTTCACCTCATTATGCAAGGCATAATAGAGCTGAATCTCAAGAGCACCAAGTGGACTTAGTCTGTGAGCAGTGGTTGACGCGATCTTTTTCCTTTATTTGTGGTGTTACCATTCATATCTACAGGTTATTTTTTTTTTAACCAAAGACCAACTTTTTGTCCTCTTCAAGAATATCATCTTCAATTTGCCCAAGCTTAGTGAATCCACATTATGAAGATTAATCATAAATTGCCTCTACAAACTGCAGGATGAAATGTCTGAAAAAAAATTAAAGACTGAATTGTAGATGAAAAGAAATGAATTTCTTCATGAAATATATGCATCAAAATTTTCAAATACCACAAAGAATCCCACATGGTTCAGGCTCTACAAACTGCAGGATGAACTCTACAAACTGCAGGATGAACTCTACAAACTGCAGGATGAACTCTACAAACTGCAGGATGAACTCTACAAACTGCAGGATGAACTCTACAAACTGCAGGATGAACTCTACAAACTGCAGGATGAACTCTACAAACTGCAGGATGAACTCTACAAACTGCAGGATGAACTCTACAAACTGCAGGATGAACTCTACAAACTGCAGGATGAACTCTACAAACTGCAGGATGAACTCTACAAACTGCAGGATGAACTCTACAAACTGCAGGATGAACTCTACAAACTGCAGGATGAACTCTACAAACTGCAGGATGAACTCTACAAACTGCAGGATGAACTCTACAAACTGCAGGATGAACTCTACAAACTGCAGGATGAACTCTACAAACTGCAGGATGAACTCTACAAACTGCAGGATGAACTCTACAAACTGCAGGATGAACTCTACAAACTGCAGGATGAACTCTACAAACTGCAGGATGAACTCTACAAACTGCAGGATGAACTCTACAAACTGCAGGATGAACTCTACAAACTGCAGGATGAACTCTACAAACTGCAGGATGAACTCTACAAACTGCAGGATGAACTCTACAAACTGCAGGATGAACTCTACAAACTGCAGGATGAACTCTACAAACTGCAGGATGAACTCTACAAACTGCAGGATGAACTCTACAAACTGCAGGATGAACTCTACAAACTGCAGGATGAACTCTACAAACTGCAGGATGAACTCTACAAACTGCAGGATGAACTCTACAAACTGCAGGATGAACTCTACAAACTGCAGGATGAACTCTACAAACTGCAGGATGAACTCTACAAACTGCAGGATGAACTCTACAAACTGCAGGATGAACTCTACAAACTGCAGGATGAACTCTACAAACTGCAGGATGAACTCTACAAACTGCAGGATGAACTCTACAAACTGCAGGATGAACTCTACAAACTGCAGGATGAACTCTACAAACTGCAGTTTATGATCAATAAAATGACGACTTGCCTCATATCTCCCTAATCCTATGACAGTCTTTGCAGAGTTATAAATCATCCAAAACGTGTCATACATTTGCTTTAACTGCAAAGAAAGGGAATACATATAAATAAACAATAAATGTCAATATGAACAAATACTAGAATACACCTCGATCTCTATTCACTTACTATCATTATTATTCTTTGTTACAGGGTTTTAGACTATTCACTTACTTTCTGTAGTAATACATCACAGACTATACTATGGTTATGTCACATTCGTGGACCAAATCTAATTACCTTTTCCTTGATAAATCACCGACTTTCATCGTGTTGTTGTTCTTCCTCTACAGAGTTTTAGACTTTGATTAGTTTATATTTCCTGAATCATTACTTCTCATCTAGTTAATTTATCTTGATGAGCTTTACATTTGAGGTCCCTTTAATAGGTATAAGTTTGACACATTTCTCTCCGAAGATGATTTCTATGTAAATATAAAATTGCAAGCAAGTAACATTTTCGAGAGTTGTTTAGAGGTTATATTGTATTCATTCGCTTCTAAAAAACTCTATGAATTTGATAGTTTAGGAATGTGAGCGATTTAAATTTTATACAAAGTATCCCTATTGTTATTGTTTTGCGCGTCCCTTTAAATCTAAAATGTATCCACGTTTTCCAGATACTAATTTCGACCTAAAATGTATCCACGTTTCCCAGATTCCTCCGAAATGCGGTCCGGGGCATTTGAAGTCGTTGGTGTTGTGATGGATTCAATGTTGTGCAATTTTAGTTTCTCTGTTATTGATTAAAGAGGCGACTTCTCTTCGAATTCAGCGGATTGATGTTGGATTCGATTTTTATTTCCGGCTTTATGGCAGCGATGTCAAGGACAGTCTATTTAGTGCGTCTCGAAGGAAAATCTAGATGAGGGAAGTTCGGGTTTAAAGGTAATGTATTTGATGTGATGTGTTGTTGTATCGTATAATTATACTGTATCATTATATTCAGTGTTGGTAATTGTTCCGAAGACATTGTAGTGCATATTTTTTCTCGTAATTATACGGCTCAAGTTCCACGCAAATCCAGTTGAAACTTACTGTGAGTTGCCATGACTGGCCTCGAATCCCGTCCATGAGACCTTGAAGACTGATGATTTATCAATTAAGGAGGCAGTCGTCCATGTTCAGTCAGTTTTCCCAGTCTTATATGCCTGGCAGAGATTAGTTCTCCTACGCCAGAGCAACTAACACACAAGTCACAGCAATGGCATGAGTCAGTGTGATGTGTCTATAACCATTACAAACGTACTTGGCCAAACTCTTTGAATATCGTCACTGAATGTACTACCAGTATGCTTTTTTATTGTTTTTAGCTTGGAAGAAACTGAATCAGCAATATTTATTGTATTATTACATAGATATTTTGTATTTTATACAACTTGTTTCTTACTTGACTGTTATAATTGTTTAATGTATGTTCTGTTTTCCAGGTTTTCAGAGAATCACAAGGGAATGAAATGGCATTTTATATCAAGCCACCACAAGGCACAGTTTCTCTCTACAAACTCTGGGAAGAAGCTGAAGTCCGACTGCAATATCTAGTTCAGGTATGCCACTCATCATCATCATCATCATCATCATCATTATTATTATCATCACCACCATTACCATTATCATTATCACCATTATCGTGATCATCAACACCACCACCAACATTAATATACTCATTTATCTCTAGTCGTAGGACTAGAGATAACAAGACTTCCAAGACTTCATGTTCTAAGGGTTTGATTTTGGTGAGTTCATGCATTTCTAGTCTTTCTCAGTATTTTGATTAACTCACATGGAAGCCTTTTCCAGATCAACCAGCACTGGGGCGATGCAACCAAAATCAGCCGGATCCTCACCGACAGCCCAAGCATAGCATCCAAGTCGGAGTGTCTCATCGAGGGATCACGCAAGGATCAGATCTCACACTTCATTCTAAGGTGCCTCAAGACATAACACAAGTATGCTAATTTGAATTAAGCTGCCTGTATTTCTCAGCAGTCTTAGATCAGTAGAGAGAAGAAGTAATGTCTCTTATCTAATGTGTAATTGTGTATTTGTTGGATACATAAGTGCTGAAGAAATCAGACATTCACAAGAAGTATATTTGCTTGTTTACTTACATCTTATTTACATCTTCCTATCTACCTAAAATGAGCTACCACCATTAAAAACCTTTTTCTTTTTCTTGGACTTATTAATTTTTCATAGAAAACTGTAAAAGAATTATTACTTTCCATAAATATGGTACTTTGGTTTGCGCTAACATTCAGATCAGTCTCTTATCTTCTAGTTCAAGATATGCCTGACAGCTCACAGAAACTAATTTTGGAATTTTCTCTGTAGCAAACACCTTTACCTTGGAACAGTCTGTTTCAGTCTTAGGTTATTGCTCTTCTCAAGAATACCCTCATTCCTTTACCCTGAAAAGGTGGTTTAATTCCTCCCAAAGAGAAAGTCACAAAAAGTAATTTTACCAATATTCTTTTTCATCTTTTTTTTTTTTTTTTTTTTTTTTTTTTTTTTTTTTTTTTACCTCCCTTATTTTTATGTCTTGTGGCTACACATCATAGGCAGCATCACTATTGCAACTAAGTTTGTGCTATGGCTAAAGCTGTTTTACCTACTAATTTTCCCATTTCATTTATAGAGTGTTGACTTATTGCAGCTTTTGACTTTTTATTCCCCATTTATATTTATAATTAAGTGTCCTATGGAATTGCTTATCTAATGTTTATCCAGAATATGAAAGCTTATATGAATGGTTGTTTAAATATCTATATAAAAAAAAATTATTGCCTACAGATTTGCTTGTATTGAGAGCAGGCAGTTACAAGATTTTTTCATCGAAGCAGAAACCCAACTGTTTGAATATCGACTAAAATGTGGTGGCACTGAAATATTTGTCCGCTGTCTAACTGCACTAAAGCGACACCTACATCATTCTTTGAAGTACCAGAAATTGTCTTTGCCTCATGAGATATGGTTGCAGGAATTGCTCAGAATTATAAGGCAGATCATTACTTCAGGAATGATACTTTGCAGTGAAAGACAGAACTGTAGTCACTGTCTTAGAGGTATGGCGCTTCCTGTTGTCTCTTCATCGATGGCTTCCTGTAAAATTGTTTTTCAGATATTTGGATATCTTGGATTCAGACTTTGCTATGTTAGTTATAAGAGTGATAGTAATAATTATCAATTTACTATGAATGTGTTTATTGTTGTTTTAACAGTAATATAGAGAAACATCATTATTCTACATATGCTGTCAGTTATGACTTTGTTTTTTCTGTTTCAGTTCCTTGGACAATGGTGCCCATTATGGTGAAGAATCACATGGTAGATATTAAGAAGGGAGAAGCAGAGATTAAATGTCAGCATTTATTGCCTCTCCTGTGCTCTGTTTTTCAAGGAACTTTGGAATTTGGAATAAAACAGCTGTCTCTCTATGGGGGGGATTTATTTGATGATAAAAGGCTAGAGTCAGTTAGGAGGAGTCTCTATAAAATATACAGAAAAATACAGAGTAATGGCTTAACGCTTCGAAAACTTACTCTTACTCACAGGGACATTGAAACAGAGGCCCATTTCTTTCCCCTTTGCATGCAACAATTACACAGCATTTTATTAAGAAACAATCGCTTGAGACACCATGAAAGATTTAAGTACACCCTCTTTTTGAAAGATATAGGTTTGCCACTAACAGAGAATATACGCTTTTGGGAAGATTTTTACTCAAAGCCTCACTGTACGCCTGCAAGTGGCTGCACTCATTCTTGGGCTGGAAACGACAGAAAACGCTATGTGTATAGTGTCAAGCATCTGTATGGACTGGAAGGAGGCAGGAAGAACTATGCGTCCCATTCATGTCCTTCTCTTCAAGTGAGTCTGCTACTGATTTATCTTTTGATATTATGAATATTATCATTATTATTATTATTATTGTTATTATTATTATTATTATTATTATTATTACTACTACTACCATTATTATCTTAATTCTGTTATCATGTATTAATTCTCCATTTCTTACGTTTTTTATATTCCTTTGTATTTCATATATATTTTTATCTTATATTTGGGTATTTTGTGAGAGACAGGTACAGATATTGAAGTGTTGGTCATTAAAAACCAATCATTACTCACACAAAGATGGGAAAAGACTTATTTCATGCCACTTCAAGCTGATGACTGTATATATGCAGCTTTGCTGTATTTTTAATCCATTTGCCTCACGTGGCCATACCCACTTTGATAAACGTTTATTTATTGTATTTACACATAGATGGCTCCACAAGTTCTTAATCACCAAATAGCCAGTTATCAAGAACTACCTATTCCAAATGTTTACCCTTTTCCTTTACTTTAGGAAAAAATTTTTGTATCATTCCATTGTCTAAAATATTCTAATGACAATTTAATAATTATAACATCAATAACAATAATAACAGTGTCGATAGTAATGGTATTAATTTTGCCGCCAATTCAATGAATGGGAAAATCAGGGTCGGCAGCTAGGGCCTACTGATAGACTCCTTGCCGGCTGAGCACATGTAGAGCCATCTGTATGTAACAAAATTCACCAAAATCTACAGGAGACAGAGCATAAATCCGGGGCGAATGGGTTAACATGAAGTTAGTGATGTAAATGTTTCTGTAAATATTTTACAAAATCATTGTATAAGAGTTTTGAACATACCTTTTGCTTTGACCATCATGTGTAATATAAATAAGATAGCCTAGCTCCTAATATCCAGATTTAACATGTCAGACTACTGTGCAAAAAGTCTTTTGTGAAGTGAGCCAGTGTATATAGATAACTGTACTCACAAGTACATTTGCAAACACAAATACATTTCACAGGCACATGCAATCCTCCCACACACACACACAGTGTAAAACCAAAAGCCCGGACCTCTACTTTCTCCCACCTATCCTCCCTTCACCAACCTCCCAACTTGTCAGACAACCTTACAGAATCTCACACTTTCTTTTTTGACAACCTGTTTTCCTTCCTCAGACACATACATCACCTGTCAATTCCTTTGCCCAGCTTTAGCAACTAATCACTAACTCAACCACCCTTCAGGAACATCTACTATAGTGCTACATGACCTTAGATGTCTAGCACATTTATTTTGCTTTTAACCATTAACCATAATAAAGATCTTGAGATATAAAGGACCAGCTCCTTATTAGATGTGCAAGTGCTCAAGGTAAGATCAGTTGAATATAGGTATAACTATTATTAGCAAATACAAATTTCAGAAACATTCCAAACAAATGTATTAGATTATATGACAACAATTATGTTTTATCAGTCCATGGACAGGAGTGGCTTGGCCTCAGTGACTACACAATTAAAACCAAAATGCAAGTACACAACTTTTGTACATGCCATTTATTCAGGGATTAAGTGAGCTCAACGCAGCTTGTTGGGAAATACAAATGCAAACTCCATTTCTTAATTTCTTACAGGCATGTCACCCTCAACCAACTGAGGTGAGAGGCTGTCCATTCACTTCAACAAGTGCAGAGGAAGTTTCTACATTAATCAAGAAATTTGTCCCTCACAGTAAAAATATTCTGGACAATGTAATGAAGGAGGTGGTATTAGGTAGACCAAGTGCTGCCTGCCAGTTAGTATTTGCCTTTCAGGTGTTCATACACAGACAGAGCAGTCAATCTTGTGAAAGTGAAACTTCCAGTAAGGTGGCAAATGAATCTGTACCTGAAAGGGAAAACTTCCGTAATCCTTTGAACCTCAGTAATGAAAGTAAAGAATTACAGGATATTTCTATGCATACAAACAAAGATCATGAAGAATGGAAACCAAAACTAAATTCATCAGGCTTTGGCAGTAAAGATTGCAGTAGAAGTGGTGATGCAAGGGCTGTGATTAGATCTGAAAACATCAAATATGACTGCAAGGGTAAAAAAGACTGCAGTTCTTGCCATAGTTTTAGCACAGGCCCAAAAACTGGTTCAGAACACCACAGTGAAAGCAGTGGTATCATTTTGTGTGACATAGAAGATCTGTATAGTCTCCTGCCAGCCTGCAGTTTCACCAGACCTTCTCATTACTATTTGTCTATGAAGCAGGAACAAGGTGTAATACAGAGTAATAACTGAATTTGTAGGGGAAGAGGTGCTTGAGCTGCTTCTGTTCTGTTGCTCATTTATTGATCATTCATAATGCATTTACTTTTTATGGTGCATGTTGACACAGGTTTCATGTGAACCAAAGGCTTTGTATACAGTATAGAGTTAGGCCTTTGTAATTTTTTGAGATGAATATTTAAAGATAAATGGAGGAAATGGTAAACTTTTTTCCTATTTAACTTACTTTCAAAACAGATCTTCTATCTTCCATCATTTAAAGAATTTTTTACTAGGATTTTGTTTATGGAAGCTTAAATGAGCAATATTGCTGTGCATTTAAGTCCAATCCAAATACAGATAGTCCCCTACTTAAGAACATTCTACTTATGAACATTCCATACATACGAACAAAATTTTTAAAATACTAAAGTCAAAAAAATTGTTTGAAAGATGGTAGCAAACTTCAAATTTCCCGGGCGCGAATATAGTTCACAAGTCTGCCACGCTGTGGTGCTGCCGCGCTCACTCAGCTGTGCACATCACTCGCCTCAGTCGCCTGCCACTTCAATATATTTTCTTTTTGAATAATTTATGTTTCTACATTAAAGTTGTATGAATCACCATCAAATAATATTAAAAGCATTACATATTACAGGTATTGGGATTTATTTACAGGTATTCTTAATGTAAATGAAACTTTAAAACAATTGGAAAAAAGGTAATGGAGACCATACTTTCAACATACAAACAAATCGACTTACAAACAGCCTCTCAGTCCCCATTATGTTCTTAAGTTGGGGACTTACTGTACTTTTAAATTAGATGATCCCAAAATTAGATTTTACAAAAGTTTTCATGTATACATGTCTTGCTTGTCAAAATGTATCCCAGAATTTTAGAATCCTGAATTAAAAACCCTGTTACAGAACTTTGCATCTGGCTCACAGGATTGAATCCGTGTCTGTATTTGTTATCTTTCATGTTATTTCTGTTCTATTCATTGTTGTTTCTTCATTTATTTGTAATATGAAATAAAATGGGCTTCCATAAGGATTTAAATTTTCTATGTAATTGCTACAGTTTCTGTTATATTATGGCAAGGAATTCATGTAGGGCATAATATATGTTAGGTTTTCTATACATCTGTGAAATTATTTTTTGAAGGTTCATATCTTCTAACCTTTGTAAAATGAAGTGTCTGTTACCAATCAAGATAATTTATTTGTTAGCAGAAACTTGATTATATTTGATGAGGATGGAGATTGTCTTATTTGATTACATTTAAAGCAGAATATTCTGTAATGCATTGAGGAGGGTTTGAAATTGTGGGACTCAGTGCCTTTTTTATAGTACAAAAAATATATAGACTATATATTATTTCTAGTATTGCTCAATAATATGTACTGGTATATTCACAATTGTTTGTATTAATATAGGTATCATTATTTCTGTCCAGAATCAGTTTTTATAAAGAGTGATGTAACAGGGAGAATATGCATTTCTCATTTGGCTTTTGCATGTGTAATAGCTGTGTTACTGTCTTTTCCAAATTGTATTTAATTATAACAAGTACCAAAGAATCAATTAAGATACAATTTGTGTTTGCTATACCTTACAAAATTACATGCATTAATCTAAAACAAAAGTCAAAGTACATAGATACACAGGAATACCCTCTCAGGAGGATGTTATGGTTTATTATGAATCCATCGTCCCAATAGAGGTCAGAGAATGAGATTTTATGCCACCAGGCTTCCAGTGAGGCAGGAATATTATAAAACAAATTTTGAGCTTATGGAAGAGAGAGTGAGTGTAAGGAGAAAAAATTGTGCATTTTTGACATATATTTAGATAAGATCAATTTCTATAACTGTTGTGTGCAAAACTGCCCAAGCAACCACCAGTGGCTCGCCCTAGGCCCTTCCAGTGGTGCCCCTCGACGCTTCCACTGACCTGCAGTCCTTTAAATGGTGCCCTCTTGGTCCCTCCAGGGGTCAACAGTGTCCTTTTAACCCTTCCAGTGGTATTCTCTTGACCTTCCATCGCAGCCCCTCCCTCCTTGCCAACAGCACCCCCTTGGCCTGTCATGTGGCTCCCTGGAGGATGAAGGACTTGGTGTAATGAGGGGAGGCACAAATGACTGGAATGTAGCATTTCGGCCATTTTCTGAATCCGGAATTCTCTAAAATCTGATCACTGAAGCCAGTGTTTAATTGGCACACATTTGTATTCATGACATTCCATTGTGTGTGTGTGTGTGTGTGTGTGTGTGTGTGTGTGTGTGTGTGTGTGTGTGTGTGTGTGTGTGTGTGTGTGTGTGTGTGTGTGTGTGTGTGTGTGTGTGTGTGTGTGTGTGTGTGTACATAAGTGTGAGTGTGTGTGTGTGTGTGTACATATATTTATGTTCACATTGTGTGTATATATGTATTTATATATATGCATATATATGTATGTATGTGTATATTTGTATATGTATGTTTATGTATGTATGTATGTATATGTATATATATCTATGCATGTGTATATGTATGTATATATATGTATGCATGTGTGTATGTATATGTGTTTGTATATGTATGTATGTATGAATATGTATATATATGCATACATATGTATATATATGTGTATGTAGTCATGTATATGCATGCATATATATATGTATGTATGTATGTGCATATCTATGTATATGCATAAATGTATATTTATGAAAGTATATGTATATGTTTGTGTATATATATGTATATGTATGTATTTATATGTATATATATGTATATATATGTTGGTA